GCCGAGAAGCGGTGTAGCTTGGCATCCCTTCCGATGGAGCTCTATCGAATTGCACGCACCTCATATTGTTTCGTCCAGAGTCCAAGGAAGCAAGCCACCGAAATTTGTTTTTAGGTAGCACGGTGGCAGCAGAAGTGGAACTCCATGTTTCGCAGAATTCCCTGCACAGTACATGCATCAGGAGCAACAGCCGACCCGTCTGCTGCATTCACGGCCAGTGCTGCAGGAGAGGGTCATGTCACACAGATCGCGGGGTAGAAGTGTATTCACAACTCTACTGACTAGGACCGGACAAGGCTGCGGGCAATGCTCCAGGACTGTCAAAGCAGAACGCCTGAAGGCTTGTAGGAAGGGATGCGTCTCATGGCAGAAGGCCGTCAAAAGTCCTCCGTGGCATGCCGATTGTGTCTCATGAAAATGCTCAGGAGTTGGTGGTGCCACTTCCGTTTTCGAGCAGACGACGGCCACTACTCCAGGAGAGCGACCAATGCTATTTAGGTTAGATGGCATGATGTTGTTCGAAGTATGCTGAGAAGCGGTGTAGCTTGGCATCCAGCCGCCCCGTCTGCTGCACTTATGGACAGTGCGGCCGGAGAGGGACAGATCGCACGGTAGAAGTGTATTCACAACTGTACTGAAAAGGACCGCACACCTCTGCGCTCTTCGAGCAGGCTGCGGCCAATGCTCCAGGACTGTCAAAGCAGCACGCCTGAAGGCTTGTAGGAAGGCCGTCACAGGTCCTCGGTGGCATGCCGATTCATGCTCGAGCTGTTCTGTAGCTATGGCTTGCCACCTTGCCGCGACATGCCACACTAGCGGTACCTTTCCTGGGATCTCTAAGAGAGTGGCCGTGCCCTACTCATAACGGATGTGCGGAGGGGGGGGTAGATGGGCAAGGAAACTGTACAGAAACTGTAAGTCGAGAGCTTTTGGTATATTGTCAGCTGGTTGTGACTTGCAGGACCCACTTCAGGCGATGTGTCGTCATTGTTCGGGGAGAGCACTCAAGGAGAGCAACAGTGAACACATGTTGGGAGGGTCACGCTCGACCGGCATTGTCACTGCAATCTCCGTGTCTCATGAAATGTTCAGGAGTTGGTGGTGCCTCTTCCGTTTTCGGGCAGACGACGGCCAATACTCCAGGAGAGTGACTAATGCTATTTAGGATAGATGGCGTGATGTTGGTCGAAGTATGCTGAGAAGCGGTGTAGCTTGGCATCGCTTCCGATGCAGCTCCAACGAATTGCACGCACCTCATATTGTTTTGTCCAGAGTCCAGAGTGCATCAGAGCGTCATAATGCCAAGGAAGCTAGCCACCGAAATTTGCTTTTAGGTAGCACGGTGGCAGCAGAAGTGGAACTCCATGTTTCGCAGAATTCCCTGCACAGTACATGCATCAGGAGCTGCAGCCGACCCGTCTGCTGCATTCACGGCCAGCGCTGCAGGAGAGGGCCACGTCACACAGATCGCACGGTAGAAGTGTATTCACCACTCTACTAGGACCGGACACCTCTGCGCTCTTCGAGCAGGCTGCGGCCAATGCTCCAGGACTGTCAAAACAGCACGCCTGAAGGCTTGCAGGAAGAGATGTGTCTGATGGCAGAAGGCCGTCACAGGTCCCCCGTGGCTTGCCGATTCATGCTCGTGCTGTTCTTTAGCTGTGGCTTGCCAGCTTTCCGCGACATGCCACACTAGCTGCATCTTTCCTGGGATCTCTCCGAGTAAACTTGTAACGGATGTGCAGTTGACATCCCATTCATTTTGGCATGAGGGTATCCGTTGCTTGCCATATTGTTAGCTGATGGTGACTCGCAGGACCCACTTCAAGCGATGTGTCGTCGCTGTTCGGGGAGAGCACTCAAGGAGAGCAACAGTGGACACATGTTGGGAGGTAAAAGCATGTTAGATAGTCCCCGCCTGGCAGAATGCAACTTGGAAGCCGCCTTCTTTTGTCCAGTGGCAATGCAGCGAGGGTCTGCAGCCGATCGCTGCGACGCTGCACAGACATGGCAGGTGTCCTAACGTGTTCAGAACCTTGTTTGTACTTGAAGGGCCGTGTGTAGCAGGATGGCACGGACCCTACCCTTAAACAGGTGCGCGCATGATCAGTTGCCAATAAAATCCGAAAAGTTTTACAGCCTGGTGCGAGCTGTGCGACCATGTTCGTTTTGTCCAGGTGCCTCTAATCATTTCATGCCTGTTCTAGGAGTTGCCGGAACTTCTGTCTTCGCGCCCTTCGGGCAAACCACGGCCAGCGCTCCAGGAGAGTGACACGTCGGTCTGGATACCAAATTGTTAAGTTTCGTGCAAGTCGGATAGAAGCTTCGTTCGTGACATCACGTTGCGAGGGTAGCGGACACAATCTTGAGCTTGTTTTCTTTGGAAAAGGGTGCGGCTCCTTTTCCGGGAAAAAAACAAGACTGGGATGCCTATGACAGCTTATGTTGAATGGTTGACGTTCCGTAATTGCATGTCCGATGCAAGATTAGGTCTGGTTCGTGTTATCACTCCAGTAACTTGCGGACTGCAGGAGCCACTTCAAACGATGTCTCGTCGCTGTTCGGGGAAAGCACGCAAGGAGCGGCTCAGTGGATGCATCATGATGCTTGGTCCTCGTTCGAAGCAGCATAGGAGGAGTCCCAGCATCAAACACAAGAGAACTCGCACGCTCTGCTTCTGCTGCCAGCATTCAGAAGCGGCGCCGCCGGATCGATCATCTGCTGGCAAGCGGCACTGAAGAAGAAAGCAATGTTGACTGTTGAGGGTGGGCTGAGCTCCCAGAAGAGGCTTTTTTGCATGCGGTGGTTTTGCCGAAGTTTGCTCCCTGTCTTCCTTGAACCAGTGCTTCTACAATCTGGCGCCAGGGCATGTATCTTCCCCGCATATCCGGGCATAAAGATTTGCAGCATGTTCATTGCTGTGATAGTACCCGTAGCTAATCAAATCGCAATGGGTCACTAGGTCCCGACAGGCATCCGACGGCATGCTCCTACCCCGAGCGTCCTCTGTGATAGGTGCGAGCAAGTTCACTGTTCGAAAATCGACACTCGAATCGACACATTGTGCAAGCCGTGTGACCGTACTGGTGTGATGTTAGCCCGCACCTCCTCCATGTTCTAGGAGTTGCCGGAACTTCTGTCTTCGCGCCCTTCGGGCAAACCACGGCCAGTGCTCCAGGAGAGTGACACGTCGGTCTGGATACCAAATTGTTAAGTTTCGTGCAAGTCGGATGGAAGCTTTGTTCTTGGCACTACGTCGTGAGTTCTATGTGTGGCTTCTAGCAATACAGCTATCGCCGATAGGCTTGCACAAGGGAGCCTGTCCAAGTTCGAGTATCTGTCTGCAGGAGTCGCGCACAACGACGTCTCGTCTCTGTTTTGAGGGGCTTGACGCATCAGTCTCACATAACTTGGAGTTGGGCATGCAGCGCTGGCATGCCAAGTTTCTCCGAAAAGAATCTGGAGGCGACTGGGCTCGAGACACAATTCCAACATTCACCAAATCGTTCAGCATCAGCGCTACGGTTGCTTTTGATCATCTTCCTTTTACCGCTGAGCAGAATCATCGAAACATTCCGAACGACTTGCTCATCGGATAGGATTGATCAGTGTTTTCTTTGCCTGGTGTTCACTTCGGGAAGACTGAACCAAAGGCCAGATAGACAGGCAAATCTACAGAACGCTACAGAACCAGCTGCCTGACCTGCGGCATTCAAGGTCGCAACCTATACGGTATATCACACGCAGAGGAAGAACTGCCAGAGCTCATGACACATGTCGCCTTGTCTAGCTTGCTGAGAACGAAAGGTTTGTTTCTCCCCAGACGTGAGTTTCGGCTCCACGCATGAAGCAGTCGCGGGCGGAGCTCCCTCCAGTCCCTGTTCATCCATGCGACAGACAGGCCGGAACGCGGTGCAAGAGGTCTTGACATGTGTTGCGACGAACGCAGAGGCCGTGGCTGAGATTAGCTCCTTGGGGCGGAGTCATGCCTGGCAGAAGGCACGGGGCCCAGGCCCCCAGGGCGTGGCCTAGAGAAGGCGTGTCCGTACTCGAACAAGGCCTTGAACCGGCTCCAGGAAGCCAGCGCCAGCCCGGCCGGCGGTGCCTCCATCGCGGCCTGGACCAGCTGCATCAAAGCCTGCAAAGGCGAAGGGCGCTGGCCGATTGCCATAGGCGCCGGTGGGCACCACCCCGCTTCTCCATGCTTCTCCGCCCTCCCAAGATGTTCTGCCACGGTCTCACCTCGTCAGGCTTGCACGATGCCATGATGCGCAGCTTCATCGAGCCCAGTGTCGTCAGCTATGGAAGTACTGTCTCAGCTCTTGCTGCTGACACGCAGTGGGTGCTTCAGACGCACTTCAGTGTCAGTCAGAGACATGCCGTGGTCTGCGCTTCTTTTCGAGTGCACTTTAGCATGTTTGCGAAAGCTTTCCGATATCACCCTTTCGAGACCAATCGCGCCTGAAGGCAAACCTCAGGTTCCGAGAATCCCGTTTTTCTCGGGACTTATTTCATGTCTGCAGATGCAGTCCCAGTCCCATCAGCAGCAGACGCACCTAGGACCTAGGCCGATAAATGCTAGCAGGTTCTCCCGACTCTTTGCAAGACGGAAAAAGGCTCTCAAAAAAAAAAGCTAGCAGGTTCGTTGAAAAGCCAAGGAGTGGGCGCTGAAGGCATTGGAAGACATGGAGAGCCGTTTTCTTCAGCCGAACTTGGTGGTGTTGAACTCTGCATCTGGGCCGAATTTAGTGCTGCAGGCACTACTAGTGAGTTGCGAACGCAATCTAGGCAATCCGCTCATGCGGCGAGTGGAATGTCGCACTGGCACTACTCGATGACCTCCAGCAGAAGTTGCTTGAAGCCGATGTGATAAGCTTCAATGCTGCCATCGCCGCTTGCGCAGCCTCGCACAATTCGGACAGACTGCATCCTCCCTGTGTTCTTGCCATGCCCAGTCGCAAGCCTGTCTATCTGTCATGCCGTTTGATTTGGACTCAGCTCAGGTTCACAACTGGGAGGTGGGGGTCGAAATACTTCAGCAGATGCATGAGGCCTTCATTTTGCAGGTGGGATGTGCCTAGTCTATCCGAGCTTCATGTTATGACTGACCAATGCAGTTCTTGTGCACAGGATGTGGTGACCTCCACTGGCGTCATCAAGGCCTGTGGCAGCAGCATCCAATGGCAGGCACCTTCGGCTTCGCAAGAAAGGATTCTTCGCCGTTGCGCCGTGGTCTGGGCACCCAGTGCAAAGCTATGCAAAGCCGAGGTGGCCTTGGAAGTGCTCAACGCGACGTCTCGGAAAGGCCTGGCCTGGCCGCATTTGGCCTGAGGATCCTCACTTGGGCCCAAGTAGAGTAGACTCAGAGTCCCCCCTTCGAGGCCTTCGACTCGACGTTCTGTGCTTCAACTGCGTCCTGAATGCATGCGAAGCTGCAAGCAGGCAGGGGCCCGGGAGAAAAGAGCTCGTTCAGCTCGTGACGAGTAAAGCGGCAGGTGGGTCTCCGCTCTGCAGCTGATCGGAGCAGCCTCCATGGAGCTTCGCCCCGAGCCTGGCCCGCAAATGGCATGGCAAAGCGCCTCAGCGTAGAGGCGTAATTAGAAGGGCTTTGAGCCGCCTCGCGCCTTCTGCAAGGACGATGTGACGTTGGGGACTGCCACCTCCGCATGTGGCAAAGCCGGACGCTGGGAACACGCTCTGCTGCTTTCTCTGTCTCTACATGCTGGGCAGAGGAGATGCACACAGTGCTAGCTGGAGCTAGGAGTAGGTTGCCTTCCAGATTGGAGGAGCGTGTTTTCGCAGACGGCAGCAGTGTCAGCATTGGCGAAAGCGGGGCGATGGGCTCTGGCTCTGAGCAGTTTGGACTCTCGAAAGCATGTCCATATGTCATCCAGCGGTTGTTTCTGCTGGTCCTGCGGCTGCACATGCTCTGAGGAAAACATGCGGCAGTTATCTACACCGCCCAACCATGTGACCGTCGGTGCAGTGATTTCAGCGTGCCGTCCCCTGTGACTTTCAGCCTTTACGGCAGGGGTGCATGCAAGCTAATGGTTGAAGAATTCCCATGCCGACGAGCTGTGTTCGTAGTCGGAGGTTTGCCAATGCGGCCTGTTGGGATCGAGCTTTGTCTATGCTTTGGGAGAGCAGGCCAGAGGACCTTTGCTTTGTGACGCTTGTGAGTAGCCAGACCATGTGGCGAGGCATACGCTTCCGCTCACTGTGGGCTGCCTCTTTCCTGCAATGCAGTATTGTAAGACTTGGCAAAATGCAAAAAAATAAGCTGCAAGTGCGACTCCGCTACTTGTCCGCCCCTGGCCTCCTCCCCCGCGCGGGCGCTCCCATAGACATGTTTTTCGAGAACTACTGGCGTGAGTCACACGGCAGTTCAGATCTGCAGTTCCTGCCATGTCAGCCCCCCGGATTTCTTCGCGAAGCTGAGGTTTCAATGCTGCCATGCAAGCATGTCACCTCGCGACTTCGACTTGACTCTGCTTGCTTTCCACAAGTGCAGCAACCATGTTCTTGCTGAGGCCGGCCAGTGGCAGCATGCCCTCCAGGTCTTGTGTCAGATGGAACCACTTACACCGGACATCACCAGCCAGAACATTGCAATGAATGCCTGCGGTCTCCAGTCGCAGTGGCAGCGCGTCATCGACATGCTGGAGGATGGCCAACCCTGAACCCCTTACCCTAGAGCCTTAGAGCAAGCCTCTTACAGGACTGCCGCCGCCGAGAGCTCCAAGCGGACGAGCTGACGCACCGAGCGGTGCTGACCGCCTGCAGCGCGGCCACGCAGTGGAGCCAATGCTTGAGAGCCCGGCTCTTGGCGGCGAAGCCGCGGGGTTTTGCGAGAGACGAAAAGAGAGACACCGAGAGAAGCGGAGGCTCTGGCTGAGCGGCCCATCGGTTTGGTCTCTCACACCATCGGCATCGACTCTTTGCGGGCGGAGGCGGAGGGCTGGGCCCTGGCTCTGGCGCTCCTTCAGGACGTGGAGCTCGCAGGCCTTTCCGAAAGATGGAGAGGACCCCCAGAGTTGAGTTTCCTGGGAGGTTTGGAGTGTGACACCATCATCTGCAACGCCGCCATCAACGCCTGTGCCGGTTCGGGGCAATGGGAAGCCGGCCTGGCCCTGATGGCACGGATGTGACTTGGCGAAGCCAACTGCCGAGGGATGGGCGGCTGGCCTCAGTCTATGTCTGAGGTATCGGGAACGGATCGAGCAGAGCGTTCTGGTCTCGGTCAAGTTCCTGTGACATCCGAACTCACCAGACCCGGTGCTTTGCGGCGCCAGGTCGCGACCCACACCTCTGTTTTGATGGCATCTGCCGTCGCTGCTCTCTGGGATGTGCCTCTGATGAGTTCAGGATTTTGTTTTAGTTGGAGGCTTCCGGGTAGTTTGGGCAGGTGGCACTGATGCTTCTCGGAGATGTGCGGTCGAGATCGGCATCGACCTTGCAGCCCGGCTCGGGAGCTGTGTCGGTTACATCGAGTTCGGCAGAAGGCTGCAAAGCCGTTCACTATTCTTGGTTGCCAAGGGCCGTTCACAATGCAGCCTTAAGTGCCTTGGGGAACACAGGCCATTGGGAACACGCAGCAGCCCAAGCCTGTCGGGTCAGATGAAAGAAAACGCTGCCCGTAAAGAACATCAGGCCTTGGTCATTTTCAATGGAATGCAATCGGAAGGCGTGCAATTCGACTTGTCCCGTGGCTTGCACCAAGGCATTTCGTCTTTTTTCTTGCATCTTTGTCCCTTTTGGTCTCCCAAAAGGATCACCTGCAGCTCGGCAATGAGTGCATGTGAGAAGGGCATGCAATGGGAGCATGCCTTGGCCCTGTTCTACGACTTGGCGCAAAGCAATTTGCAGCTCGGCTTCGCTTTGAGAGCGAGACTCGGTTCGGATGCGATGGAGCTCGGAATTGAGGAGAGCCGACGCCATCTGCTACAACGCAGCCATCGAGGCTTGCTCTGCTGCTGAAGAATGGACCCTCGTCAGCGAGCTCATGCGAGCGTCCCTGCAGCTCCTCGGGCTAAAGCTGGAACAGGTCTGCCTTGTGGCTACGGCTACACCTCCCGCTTGAGGTCTACTCACAGCTTCACCATTGCAGCCTATGATCACGCAGTTCAAGCAGGAAGTTCGGTGGATTGCTTCAAGCATATCGTTCTCATTTGCCTACTGCAGCGCATGGTCAGAGATGGCGACCCCTTCCTGTTGATCGACACGCACGCTGGCAGAGGCAGGACGTTTGTAAGAAGATTCTGGAATGGCCTAGCCCGGGTAACGCAACTGCGAAAACGAGATCAGATACTGTCAGGTCTTTACGACCTCACTCGGGAGGTGCCCATGCAGAGGAACGCCTCCAAATGGGGAGTTCAGACGCTTTGCTGCAAGTGGGTTGAACTGGAGGCCGCGCAGGCAGTCGACACGACTTCTGGAAGAGCCCTCCTTATCTAAGGCAACTGGCAGAAGCTGCATCTGCCTCCGATGCTCTTGTGGATGCTTTTGTCCGCGCACAGCGTGGCTTCTTCCACTGCAACAGTAGAATGGCCGAGATGTTTTACTCGTCCCGACAGGTTGCGGTTGCTCGGAATCTGTGGAAAGATACTCAGTTAAGTTGAGGCTCTCTGGATCGTGACTTCCAGCCTCTTCCTCTTCGTTTCTACTTGGGATCCCCGGCCATTGCGCTGCAGTGGCTTCGGCCGCAAGACCGCGGCCTCTTCTTCGAGCTCTCGGAAACCCGCCTCGCATCAGCTCGGCTCTGCCTCATATATATTAACACATATATATATACACACACACACACATACTTATATGTATATATATATATGTATGTATGTATGTATGTATGTATGTATGTAAGTATGTATGTATGTATGTCTGTATGGATGGATGGATGGATGGATGGATGTATATGCCCTTGCAAGTGGGCCGATTCGATGCACAGGGCAACAAGGTTTACACACCTGTGCATATTAGTGATGCGGTTTACATCCCTAGCTTTGTGGGTGACGCGCTGCAAACCACATCCACTCGATACCAGATCACTGCAGTCATGTTTCACTTGGGTGCATCATTGCTTGCTGGGCATGACCGTGCAGCTCTCTGCGAGCGGGCCGAGCGGGGTAGCATTGTCAGCAGCACTGAGGATGGTGTGATAGCACAAACAGCCAGCGAGGCTGATGTACAAAGGAACTCCTATGTCTTCATACTCCGTAAGTGCTGACACTGTTGTTAGTTTCTCGAGCCTTTTCTGTGTGCCATCAGCAAGTTCTATTGCTTTCTTCATGTAGGTTTAGGGCTTCTGGGTCTATTGCGTGAAGGGTTGGGGAGCGTATTCAAATAGCACCCTTTCGGTCCTGTATTTCTTCTATCTGTAGCTGTTGCTCTTTGCTTTGTGTTCAACTCGATAATGCTGTGGCTACACACTTTTTGAAGTTGTGGCCCTTCGGGGCAGTTTAAACTCCACCGGGAGTGAAGGCCTGCTCTGATGGGCGGACATGCCATTCCGAGGCCTGTGCTTCTTATTCTTCTAGCCTAGTTTCAGACCTATACCATCATTCCATACACCATATGCCTTATTATCATATACTCCTGTGGAGCTGTTGAAAGTGCCAACATGGTGTGCAGCCAAGGGAGCTGCCAGCCGGAAACTGCCATCGCAACGCGCAGGATCTCTTTGCTGCGAGTGAATGAATGAATGAATTAATGTATGTATGTATGTATGTATGTATGTATGTGTGTATGTATGTATGTATGTATGTATGTATGTATGTATGTATGTATGTATGTATGTATGTATGTATGTGTGTCCGCATGTGCGCATGTATGTGCAGATCAGCCCTTGTTAGTTTCAGTTGTTGTCTTGTTATTGGTTTTCTCGGCAGCGACATAAAGCCCTGGGTAGCTAACACTTCAAAGGGGGATGTGAAGCTGGGAGGCTCTGAGGCTGGAGTTTTTTTCGACGCTTTCTAGGAAGCTTTCTGAACTCACGTTGGCATGAACTCAGGGGTTTTTTCAACTCATCCACGAACGAGCGAGGCTTGTTTTTCGTCAGTATGTCTCATATTCAGTCGGAGCCATCGGGAACACTTGGGGACTTTACAGCCGTGGTCGGTAAACTTAAAAGATCCCACTTGGCGGCACCTGAATCTGCCAGCTCGATGCAGTGGGAGCATCCGGTTTGGATGAAGGCCTCCTTGTTGGCAGCACAGTAGCTTGCAGTCCTCCGAGGCTGCAACATGATTCCCCCGACACACCCTACCGCAACAACCGACGGCATCTGACATTTTATTCGGTTCTTATTCGACAACCCTTGATGCCTCGCGCTGACACAGGCACGATGACCGCCTTCTGCAAGCGCAATCATGCTCGCTGCTCCCATCAGATGCTGGTCACGACCTGCCTTTCTGGTTGGGCACAGGCACTGCAGAAGCCGTGCTTTAACTGACTTCAGCGCGACAAGCCTCTCTGTAGTTCTCAGATTCGGAGTCCCAGTGCGATCATCTGCAAGCATAGACAGGTTCAGAAAGCTGTCGGGATGATGGCGAATCAACTTGTCATGTTTGTCTTTCAGCAAGCGACAAGCGAGTTGCAAGGAATGAGCGTCACGGTCTCTTGTTGCTCCTTGTCGTTTGTTGGAGGTACAAACAGCAACCTAGAGCACCGCGCATTTTTCGGACTCCAGAAAGGACATCAGAGGGTGACGCCATGTACCGACATGTAGGAGAATGCGCCGATGTGTCAAAACTAGATCTCCGCCGACATGCAAGAAAAAGCTCGCCGACGTGCTAAAAGTACGGGCCGACGTGCATGCAAAAACAACGCACCAACATGCCAAAAGCACGTGCCGACATGCCAAAATGCACACCGACATGTCAAAACCAACCCCACGGAGATTCTTTATCCTTTTGTAGCGGGCAATGTTGCAACTTCGTACCAGTCATCCCGAACAGACCAAGCTTTGATGTCTTCGCGGCACCATGAGTCATATGAGCCTTCCAGATGTGGGTGATAGCCGGAGGTTAGTGCACCTGCAAGACGACATGCAGAGGAAATGAGTAGGCTGCTGTCTTGGCAGTCTTTCGCTCAGTATGGAACGACCAGCCATGCTTCGAGTGCATCCACCGAGGGCAGCACACAAGATTTACGTATCCGCTTTCAGCTTTTTCGGATCTTTTAGGATCTTGGCCAGACTTGGCACAACATCTTTATGCCCGTGGGCCGGTGATCTCAAGAAAGCGGTGAGGCCCAAGAAAGACAAACCCAAACCGCACCAGGACCCGTCACAAGCCTCCTCCGTATGTACCAGTGACTCAGACGTCATTGGAGGGCGAAGTCCTCACGCATCCACGGCAAAGAAGGGTGGAGATCAGAGTCGAGACAGCAACAGTCGGCATTTCTCTCTGATACTGGCTGTGGCAGCGGTGCTGGGTTTTCATCATCGTTGATCAGATCGCGGTCGTTCTAAGCATAAAATACACCTTGAATATTGTTAGGGCCTGCGCATTCCTGCACAGGACCGCACTTCACACGTGTATTGATAGCGATGCTTTTCTTGCAGGGCGACACCATTCGCAGACTCTCAGATTGTTCCCGAAGTAGCACTGAACCGGCTCAAGATGTTGTGCCGCGACCTTGCCGAAACTTGTGCTAATCTTTTCGATGTGGGGGCCCACAGGCTTTGATGGTGTCCGGTTTCGGGGAATTTTCCTGCATTGCCGATTGCCGGGTCCCCACGTACGATGCTTCGGGCTGTCGGTCATGAGAGGAGTCTAGTGGTTGAGCATGTCTTCAAAAGGATGCCCCGACAATCTTCTGCAGTCTTGATCAGCCCAGAAGCCAATCGTTCAAAGCCACACGGCACTTATGCAAAGAGTTTTGTCTTGCCTTCACTACTTACCGTCATGCCTGAGTTTTACTTAGCACAATCACTGGGGGCGGGGGGATGTATGCCCTCTCAGTGTTTCGAGCATCTTGTTTTAGGTGAACCTGCGGTTTTCCACGCGCTTCTGTCAGGTAGCAGCTCACTTGCGCGCCGCGCCGTCTCTTCCTCTTTTCTGGACACGCTGAAAGCCCCCGGCTGGCCAACAGCATTTGGAAGATGCTTGTCCGCAGAGTTCATCCTCTTCAGTTCTTGGACATTGCAGGAAGGCGTCCTTGCCCACCAGCGAGCAAACGTTCGTCTTTGTCAAACTCGTCAGGAGCAGGGTAATTAGTAGTTTCAGCTCTGGATTATTGATTCCGAGCCGAAGCTCCGCACCCCAGCTCAATGGCCGTCAGGGCCCAAACAGATCCAGAGAAGGTGGAAACACTTGAAAGTACAGGCATGTGAAGGCGCACGAAGCGTCGAATGAATGCGAGGCTGAAAGTCCAACAGTCTAAATTGGGATTCGGACCTCGAAGTTTGTGTCGTGTTCCTCGACGGCACCAGAACACAGCAGCTTCCGAGGCTCCCAGCGCAAGATGCAATGGGATTCCGTGCCTTTGGACGTGCGTGATTCCTCGGACGATCTCATCATTGACCGTGAGGATGAGGCCGAAGCATGTTCCAAGTCTGAACGGCCCCAAAAAAAGGTACCGGTGGAGATGCTGGCACAGAGCCGCAGCTGCAGGACAATCCCCCGGACGAGCTCGATGACGAAATCGGCCCTGTTGCTTGGACTGTCGTTGCCAGGACTTGCAGAGGCAAAGTAATGGGGGTCTGTGTGGTTGGGACGAGTCATGAGTATTGGTGGCAGGTTGTCCCTCTTCATCCGCCTAAACCTTCCGCGATCGGTGCCCCTTATGCACAATTGGACCTTCTTTCGGAAGTTGTCAAAACCAAGACGTGGTTGGGTGAGACTGGCCATCCCAGGAGAAGATTTCAGACCATCAGCCAGCTGTCAAGTAAAGTCTTCAGTAGATTGAGGTGATCTGCGAGGGGAGGCTGACGGCCCTCGCCCCGCACGCCACCTACTGCCCTTGGAAAAGGATGAGGCAGGGCTATTGGAAAAGGTCCCTTCATCGAAGCGAGCTGTGTCGGTGTGAGGCTTGCAAGTGTTGCATCTGAGCGCAAAGGCGGCAATACCGTCATTCGTTGCAGCACCAGAAACAGAGGAGGTGAGAAGCGACACCGGCTGTTGAGCACTTCTGCATTTTTAGTCGTTTTATTCCACTTTGCTGCATATCAGGCATCCGGGTATGTCAAAGAAACAAGGCCGCTGCAAACATATTTGCATGGCAATGGAGAATTGAGGGTGCCAGTGCCTGAGTACGCCATCCTTGCGGGACCAGGATGGATGTATTAGACAAGTGGCCTCCACCTCCACGCACGCTTCCAAGAATCAGCCGTGCCTGGTAGTCATTTTCTTGCAATCGGTCCGCTGGAAGGACAGGATGGAGATGCTGATCTGCCCGCTGGACCAGTGCCGAGTGTCAAGGCGGGTGGGGTGCAGCCAGCATCGTGCAGCTGATCCTACCCTGTGGCTGTTCTAGACTCTAGTCCAACCCACCCCGCATTCCCCATGTTGCTTGTTGCATTGCTGCTCCATCTTTCGGCACACCCCTCACGCCCCTGCACGCTGGCAACGAAGACGTATTGAAGGAACGGATATCGGCAGAAATTGGACAACATCGATCTGTCCAAATCTTTGTTTCTGCAAGCAGCTATTCGACTGGCATGAGCTTCGATTCGGCTGCTTGGTAGTATGCTTAAGGCTTAGTGTACCCCTGTGTCACCGTGTCCGTAAGAATCGTAGAGCTCCTTCACGCCGACAGGGTTTGCTCCTTCGGGAAACCGAGCAGCAGCTGCAGGAAGGAGCACCAACGGGGATGTGAACAGAAACTTATCGACTGCATTTGACCCCCACGGCCAAGAGTACTCGGCAGAAAGACGTCTCCGTGAATGAAATATTGTGCAGTCCCGTCTTCGGGTAGATACGCTTAACCACTTCAAGATGAAGTCATGGTTTCTTGCCTGGCCTGCTGCTTGCAGGTGTATGCCGAACACCGGTATGCGGATGCTGAGAAGGCCGTCTTGCCATGCAGTTTGCCTTGGCACTCGGTAGTTCGACTCACCTGGGAGGCAAACGAATCTTGGTCTGAGCTACTTCGCCAACACGAGGAGGTCAGAATTCATGTAGGGTTATCTGCATGAACATGGGATCGTCGGCCTCAGCAGGCGAAAGAGGAAGCGACAGCTAAGCCCACGTTCGAGGCGGCTCACTGCAAGCCAGACTACTTGCGTTGCATTTCAAGAGATGTAGTCCGACGGTTTTCTGATGTGCATCTTGGCCAGGTTCACTTGAAAGAAGATGCTGCCGAGCAAGATGACCAAGACTCCTCCGGAGAGCTGTACAACAGCCCCAATGCTGACAACGTCATCCCGCCAGAGCTTCGAACAGGGCTTGAGCGCTAGCGAGATTGTCAAAAAAGCAATGCATGCCGTGCAGTGGTTTCCACGTGCAGAAGCATGGCTGTACTCACTTGAGATTGCAGTTGCCTAGAGTCGGTGCACCTGCATGCAAGTCGAGTTTTCAGAGGCGAGACATTTAACATGTCGGTGGCACAACTCTTGGTAGCGCTCATGACTTCTGGTGCTGAGGAAGCACTTGGTCCTTTCGCATTTCTCGGCGAGATATGCACGGACGTCTGAGGTCTGCGATCGTGATGGTAGGAGCAGGGCCTCGCTCTGTAACGTGCAGGCAGATCCGTCGACGCCGGACCCAGCACAGAAGTTGGGCGACGAGGCTTGGACGGCTTGGCAGGCATGACGGGCTGAACTAGGCTGAACTGACAAGAATCCAGGCGCGAGAGATTCTCGGAGATGATGTTAAAGTCACGGTCGCGCAGGACTGGCGATGCAGAAATTGTCGCTGCGTGTCTTTAACAACCAATTTGCTTAGTTAGCTCTCATGCTTCGGTACGCCCTGGCATTCGTACTGTCACGTCAAGTCAAGTCAAGCTCGAGAGGATTTTATGGCACTGCACCCAGAGTTTTCGAAGCAGTGTGGGTCTTGGGAGTCAATTCAAACAGCTTAAGCCTTGACAAAGGTTCTACGCGGTGATCACTTTGAGCCGGAGCCGGGACCTTTAAGTCCGTGCCGTGGGCTTCCGTGCACAAGACAGTACATGAAACTCAGCTGAGGCAGGAACTTGCTGTGAAGAAATATCCATGGCACCGAGAGACATCGGCTGCAGCCCCGTCAGTCTTTGCTGGCTTTCGAGGCTGTAAACACACTGTCTTGGACTGAGGTTTGGCCCACAAAGTCTGGGTGTTCCTGTTGTGACTAATCTCCGCGAGTTGGAAAACAAGGACGTGCCTGTGTTTCAGGTATTTGGAAGCATAATATCTATGTCAGCCTTTGAAGATCCTTGAAGCAGTCCTTCCCTTCGCAAGAAAATACTGTTCAATGGCCAGGCACAGGCGGCCACAGCCAAAGCCTGACGTCTAGTCACACCAGTGAGTGAAGAAACTGCAAAAAAGAGACTGCTTTCCAAGCCGCTCGAAAATCCAGTCCACTCCACTCCACTCCGCTGGTGGTTCCTGAAAGTTCCAGAATTTTTGCTCCGCTTTACAGTAAGACCTCTGCATATGCAGTGGCAACATCCTGCTAGTGAACGATTTGAGCCTTCAACGAGGCACAGGATCATTTTGTTAATCTTAAAGTGGCTTTACAGCCTGCGCGCACCAGTGTTTTCCAGCGCTGAGAGGGGGGCGACGACGTCAGCTTGGGTCTTGGACTGGTTCCACCTTCAAGTTGTCGCACCTTTGTCGCAGCGGTTTCACGAATGCTGCGCCGATAATGTCATGCGGCTGCCATCTTTGAGCCATGTCCATAGCCCACAATGCTCTGCTGAGCTGCAGAAAAAGTGCGAAGTTCCATCCCCCACTTTGCCGCTACAACTTGCGGGTCTGGGCTTGTCTTAGAGATGTTGGTTGCGCACTGTCGGAACGCCGTGCTTTGTTTGTCCTTTGCTCAAGAGCCTTTACCTGCAAGTTCCCGCCAGCTGGCAAACGCCTTAGACTTCTTTTTTGTGGAGGAGGAGTGTTGCTTTCGGAAGCCTTTATCGTCATGTGCTCAGGCGATGGGGCGTCTTCTCCCAGGTCGCCCAAGAGCGGAAAGGCCCAGCACACTTCGCTCTCTTCTCGGTCAAAGAGGGGAAAGAGTTCTCGCGTCATAGGCGGGCCCTCACCAGCCTCGCGATTGCTTCTGTGTTGTGCTGGCCTCAGCACAAACACCAGCCTTGGCCCTGCTGAGCGAAGAGCAAGGATTGGCATCTCATGGACTTGGTCTGCCACGTTCTTCGGAGGCAGGATGCAGGAGGATTGACGAGCCTGTGCCTGTTGTCGCACAAGCTCCATGCAGCTCAATGAACCTCCCAAACAGAGGCAAGAAGAAGAGCAAGGACGCTGCAGCCTCACAGAGATGTGATCAGTATGGGGGAGCTTGGCTGGCCAATTGTTCACACTTCTCGTGAGTACTGCACAGCTGCGATCTTCACAAAGTGCTCCCAGTTACTAGTGCCAAGCGCCAGAGGACGTACCTGCTGATGAAAAGGCAAGAATCATCAGCATCCTGGGTCGGGAGGCGTGGCTTCTTGCAGCATCTCTGTGCACTTGTCCGGGTTCGTAACTCGCAAATGTCCGCAATAACTTAATGGTTAAGCCTTGAAGTTTCAGGCCTTGAAGTCTTTTGCCGCACACAACGTATTCACTTTCGATTTCGGTTTTTACTTGCTGATGCGTGATGGAGTCCTCTGCCCATTTGTTGAGACTTGTGACGTTTTTCAGCTAGCGCTTTTTTCATATCTTCGCATCCAAGCTGAGGTCGTGGATCCCTAGATGCTGTGCCCCTGACTTGCCAATTGATATACAACACTGCTGCACATTTCAGACCACTGATAGTTTTTCGCAATGCCCGGAACGACATTCGCTGCCTTCGATGGGCTATCGGGCGGCATGGAACACAACCAAAATGGTCAGGTTGTCTTGTTGAAAGGGTTAGCCGAACTTCGCTTTTTTGCTTGCACGGATCAGCATGACGAGTTCGCAGCACCGAACTTTTAAAACAAACTACGAACAATCCAACGAGCTCCGAGAAGACTACACCGCGGATGGGAATTGAACGCGATGCCCAGAAACTTGCTGTTGCCCTTGGGAGCAGTGGTCGCTTTGAGCGGATCTACATCTCGTGCGTACATGCGTAGCATTTATACAGTTTCATACAGAAAGGTTGATGTAACGTACGAGATTACTGTTCGAGCTGCCTTGCTCGCTTTCGTGTGTTGACTCGGTGGTCTTGTGCGCATGCTCTTTGGGACCTTGTCCAGTGTGACAGATAGCTTGCAGTGATCCAGGTTGTTGACAGCCGAGGGAACCCGACTGTAGAAGCAGAGCTGACCACAGGCAGGCCATTCTCTTGCACTAGCTGGTTCTGTGCGGTACGTACTGAACGACCGGAAAGGATATGGCACAGTTCGTGCTATCGTGCCCAGTGGGGCTTCAACAGGAATCTACGAGGCCGACTGCTGTTCCTTCAACCCTTCTGTCAGCGCCTGTCCTGACTCCAGGCGCTGGAACTGCGAGACGGCGGCAGCAGATACCAAGGTCCGGCTGCGGCCTCGGCTCACTCCAAACTCCCCGCCTGTTTCTGTGAGGACAAGGAGTCTCCAAAGCTGTGAGCAACATCAACCGTGTGATCGCGCGATGTGCCAAGCTGGCCAAGCCTTCCCTCTCGTTCTTGAGCAGTCTGCATCCAGAGGCCGAAGCTGAAAGGAAAGGATGTCCGCTTTCAGAAGGACTGACAAAGTGTTTGTCTTCACATGGGTATCAGCTATTCGGCTGTGTGAATCAATCCGGTGTGTCGAAGTGAGTGTTTGAGAGATCGAAATTCCGTTACATCAATACGGCATCCAGCGCAGTGCCGTAAACAGTTCATCGCCTGGGTTGTTTCAGAAAAGGATGCAATCTTCAGTTGTCTTTGGAACAAGCACGGCATCCGGCGGTCGCACAAAGAGAGGCGGAGCCGTCAAGTCGTAGTTGCTCGCTGCCTGTACAGCATCTGGCACTCCAAAGCGCGATTCCAGCACCACTGCGCTTCAAGCACGTGCAATTGAAGCACAAAAGCCGATGCAAGAAGGCAAGATTGAAGGGGTTTTTTATTCTTTAATCCACAGGATTTCTAAAGCTTGCGACGTGAGGAGTTTCGGGTTTAGAGTTGTTTGCTTTCGGTCTTCGGAGTGTAGGGCTTTTGCATTTTAGGGTTTAGGATCTTAGAGCACGGCAACGGGCCGGGATGGGTTCGGTTGTTTGTAGGGTTGCAGGTGTTCGTATTCGGTTCTCAGATGTTTTCAGGCCTTGGGGCTTTGAGAGTTAGTGGTCTTCACGGTTCAGGGTGTTTAGGGTTTAGGGTTGTGACCGAAGATTCCCTGTAGGAGTCTTGATCCAGGATTTATTTTTCTTACAGATCTTCCGGCCGGCCAGCCCGATTCGTACATGAAATCGTATCGGGAAAATCCCAGCCCACTAAGGGGATTCCACTTACGATTTCATTTACGATTTCATTTGCGATCGTGGCTTGCCGGCCCCTTTTTCGGGTTCCCCGGTCGGCCAGGGGATTGCTGTCGTATTCGGAATCGTATTTCAGGCGTAAATGAAATCGTAAATTCGTAAATGGAATCGTAATGGAATCGTAAACACTTACGTATTGAAATCGTAAGTGTCCGAGGTCCACACCCCAGCTTCGTAAATGTGATCGTAATGAAATCGTGTCGACACCCCAGCCTCCTGTCTAGGGGCGCATTGAAATCGTATCGACGCTGGCCGAGAAACAAGAACCACCCAGCACCGTTCCGTACCAGGGACAGACCTGACAGAGCTGCCAACCAGAGCCCCGTGCGGTGGTTGTATGGGGCGATCCGCAGCTTTTTGCCACTGCTGCATGGTTGCAGCCTCTAATCACTAATGCTTGAGCCACAACCAAGCCGTATTAAAATCGCATTATACCCGTCGTAAAGTTTGCGTAGATCTTTACGTAAATGAAATCGTACCTGCACATCACCCATATCCAAATCGTAACGGCCCATCGTATTGAAAGCGTAACAGAACCATAAAAAAATGTATCTCGACATCCCTTGTTCCTACAGTCTCACAAGTTTAGGGTCTGTGGGTGTAGGGCATGTAGGTTTCTTTGGGTTCAGGGTTTGCAGGGTTTCCCACCGTCTTGTTTCAACAAATGTTTGAAGGTTTTCGCACGTCCAGAGTGCGGAGTTCCCAGTGGCTCAGAGCGTGCATCTGTGAACTAGTGAACGTTTGATGTGGCCTTGATGTCTAAATTTGGTGTTCGAGCCCCCCTCCGTCCGCAAGGGAGTGCAGGAATCTGTTGTTCCAGTGTGTCAATGGGTCTCCTACCACCG